ACGGTTACTTTGATTCTTGGTTTTCCTTGTTCCCTAGCCCTGGGATACAAAGGAAGTTGAGAATCAACCTAGGTTAAGAAGTTTTAACTTGAATTCAAATTTGACCTCTAATGCATATACAAGTATTCTGATAACTGTACAACTTGAAGACTGATGTATAGAAAAATACAAGTAGTTGTTAGAGGATATTGAATCAGAGTATAGCCATGGAAAATACAAGATGAAAGTTGCAGAGAATTCTCATAAGAAAGTTTTTTTAGGCACAGACAAGGCCAAATGATCTTTTTTTCTGCAGATTGGAGAGCTGTATGATGATGATCCATCAGGCCTTGAACTTGCTACAGAATTCTGGTGTCCTACAGACACAAGCTTGTCAGCTCCCTTTTCGCCTTACGGTTCCTCTAGAATTTCACCAGCTGTAAGGCAACGTGCTTCACAGAAACAGGTAGTTATTTACGATGGCTGAAGGCCAGCGACAAGTTGTTGAAAATGAAGAAATCATGATTAAACTTTGCTTTAAGCTGAATTAACCAGATAGTCTGACAGTGGTCAGCAGTGTTAACTCAGGTGTGAAGAGGTCGTTGAAGTCAAGGGAACATTCTGTCACTAAATTGGATTTGTAAGAACTCTTTGGATCTTTAATCCTATACTCCCAGTGTCCTTTGCCAAGAGGTATTAAAAAAAGTAGTTTCATATTTTGAGTCTGTGGATGAAATCCTTTGATGTGACCATTTATACTGCTCTCACATCATAGTGATGGTTCCATTGTTATACAATCAAATGTGGGAAATCTTGTCTTGGACTTTCATTTTTGCCTCTTCTAGAAGTGAAAGATTAAAAAACCTCTCCTGAGGACAACATTTACACATTTTTTTTGTCTGTACTAATTTTCCAGTTTTTCATTGTGATGGCTTTCACTTGCGATTTATTTTGAAGCAGAAAAATTTAGTACCACTCAAAAGTAAGTTAACATGCCAGTCGCATCTCAGCTTCTGGTTTGAGGATCAGTGAAGGTGCAATGTTTGGCATACATTATCTATGACCCATCCCATGTTAAGCCAACTAATTTTGCATAGCATTATCTCAGAGACAGTAAAAAATGGATTTTGAATAATTTTAAGTTTCTTAAGCAAAATTTTCCTTGAGCTTGTCATTAACGTGGTATTTAAATGGAATTTTTAAGTTTTTGGATAATGTTATAGTGACAGATATTTGACCTTTCATTCCCTGAAACATGAAAACCATTTGTATTGTCATTGAGTTTGTGAATGAACAAACCACCGTGAGAAGAACCAAAAATTCCGTAACTCGTATGTATGATGTATGTTTGCTTAGGTTAGTCTCAACAAGTTTCTTCGCTTGGCTGGAGATCTTTTGCCGCCTTCATTGTTTGTTCCATATATGGAGATGTTAACAGGCCTCTCAAACAGCCCTCAAGCTGCTCATTACTGCTTTAACCTCCTCAAATCCACAGCAAATGGACCTGTATCTTGGGATCACTTCTTTGCTTCTATAAAACAGTATTACATGGATCTAAGACAGGATGGTGCACATGCAGGTAGATTACTATAATTATTATACTTTCATTAATATACTTCTTTTTTTTATAATTATGCTTGTTGCTCTAGCCTGGCTGTTTCATAACATTGCCATGAGTGCATGCAACAGTTATCCAGTTTTTCAGTTACCAAAAAGTTTTCTTTTTCTTGATTGTATAATATAATATTTACCTTGACTAATGTAGAATAAGGTTAGAACATGCTAGGTGACAAGCTGCAGCAACACATTGCATTGACACTTCAAGGCAAAAAATGCTTTGTGTGTACTGGAGAATTTTTTGGTGAAAATATTTGTGTCTGTAATTTCATTTTGTGCAACTTGTGGGGGTGACAAAATTCTGTTGCTGAGACAGATTTTCCCCCAAATTCTCCAGTATACATGAAACAATTTGTCGCTGCTAGTGTCACACAATTTGTCATTCAACCCGTACACAAGAAGCTATTTGTAGCTGTGACATGTTGCAGTAACATGTAACCTAGTGTGTTCCAACCTTTAGGTGGCCTGGAAATAAGCAAAAAAACTGCCTAATCATTACCTGTTTCATTTGTTTTTGTTAGGGTATAAGGTGCTCATGTTGGCATTGTTAATCCTTGAACTTGTTTCTCTTTAGTTACAATATATGGAGGACTGAACAGGGATACCAGTCACATTCACAGGCCTGCTCACCTGTCAAATCGCATCATAACACAAGAGGAGTTAGAAGGTTTAGAGTCAGTGTTGAGACTGACAGAGAGAGTGGCTGATCAGGTGGGATCTTACAAGACAATTTTACTTGCCTTAGGTGATAGTATAGAAATTTTCCTAGTTGTGGAAAAAAGCTCGGAAAAGGACCCTGACGAACTTACCCATACATGTACATGTAAGGTAAAGACTGAATGTTAGCTAAGTGGGCCAGAGCTTATGCCTTTAGCATAAAGCAACTAAGAATATAGGATGCCAGTCCATCACTGGGTTACCTTTGTCACTAGTGCCCATTTGGGTTAAGTGAGGCACTGCTTGTGAGAGTCAAGTGTCCTGCCCAAGAACACAACACAGTATAGTATAGTTTGAGTCTGGTGCGCGCCCTATTTTTAGAGATAGTATGTTTTTGCTTTCTAGGATGAAAAAGCTCGTTTGGCTATGTGTGAAAGTCAAGCTTGGCTTCCCATTGCTTCATTGTTTGGTCTGCTTGGTTGCCCTGTGCCTGTGAGCCTCAAGGCTCAGATTCTCTCCACACTTGCAGCATTTGCAAAGTCTCCTGAAGTTGCTTCATCAATGTGGCATACCTTAGAACTTTCGCAGGTGTGTTAAGACTGTCAACATTAAATATCCACGTCACTCAGTAAAAAAGATCACTGATTGGCCCTTTTTTTATTTTATATTATGTGTATAACAGCACTGCATTATGCACCTATCAATGTAAATCCCGTGGGGGGGGAGTGCGGGCAAGGGGAGGGGATTTGCCTGGGACTATCCCCGCTGTCGGGCTTTTGATCGTGTGAAGCGACCCCGAGGTCGGGACATTTGACTTTGACCGACAGAAGCCTGGTATCAATTCATAAGCAGTTACCAAGTCCGTCCCTCGAGGCTTCCTGAAAGTCACGTTGTTGGAGAAAAGTATGAAGTTTATATTTGTTTTAATCGCCATAATCCAATACTTTAAACTGTCATCTAAACAGATAATGTCTATTTTGAGGAAGTTTTTATCTTCAAGTTCCCATCTGATTGTAAAACTCGATTGAAATCGAATTCCACCATGAAAGTCAGAGGATTTTTTATGGGTCACCGATCCGACCTGTTCCGACATGTTGAGCAGATGTTATAAAGCATTTTACGTTTTATTAATATTATATAGCACGGTCAATCTTCCTGGAGTGATTTTGTTGTTCAAGATAAGAGATGCTAGTGGAGAGAGAAAATACTTAATTACAGCGAGTAATTTAATGGAGCTTCCGTTAACCGTAAATAAAAGTAGTAACAACGTGTTTGAAATGTTCTTATATTCGTTTTATATAGTATTATAGCATTGTCTGTTTAGATTTTTTCCCCTGGGGTGGGGGCTTTTTTGACACTTTTGATTGACCTTTTGTTTCCCACCCTGGGCAATTTGATCGAAAAATTTTAAAATTTGTCAAATCCCCACCCCTTGCCCGCACTCCCCCCCACGGGGTTTACATTGATAGGTGCAATATAAAAACGTAAAGTGCTCATTAATATGTATATGTGCATTAATTACATATATTTAATTGTGTTTATTGAAGATATTCACACTGGGAGATGTAAGAGGGAGTTTTAAGCAAACATGAGTTTCAGCAATGGCAATGGGAGCATTAAACAAGCAATAGGTTTAGAAAGCAAAATTTTGAACAATAACTTCTGCAAGTACATCACATGTTTTTCTACATCTTTGCTGTGACTGTGAACTTCACAACATGACATTTTACAGACAACGGAAACAATCAACCACAAATTTCTCTCTCTGTTGAAATCATGGCTCCCTAAAAATTCATCTCAAGGAAATTTTGCCAACATTTGACCAATTGAATCAGTTTAAGTAATTGCAATGAAATTTAAGGGAATGCAAAATTAATTCATTTCATAATGACTTTTTTACTGCCATCCTATTATAGTTTTTTAAACTGGTCGTATTATGTCTGACAGTTCACTTGTTCTTTGTTTTATTCAACCCTAACTCTCTCAGTTCCAAAGGCACATATTAGTGGTTGAGGGTCTGGTTCCTGAAAGACCGATTAGTGCTAATCCAGGATTAAAATTTTGTTCCACTTTTTGTATTTACCTTCCTATGAATTGCGTAGAGTAACTTTTTGTGTTATCAATAATGTATCTCAGACTAAAGGCTCAACACTATTTTGCAAGTTTGAGTTTCATGTTCTAAGACAGGAAAACCCTGCTTAAAATTTGGCTTAATCTTGGGTTAAACTTAACTATCTTTCAAGGAGCCAGGCCCTGCAGTTGTTAAACTTTTATACCTTCAGCCACATGGCCTTTTGTTTTACATCTCTTGTCCTTTATCTAATAAACAGTTGTGACTCAAATATAAACTTCATTAAGATAATTCTTTTCTTAAAAGCTTTGCATATTACATGACTGCTTTTTTTAAATCTGGAATTTGTGGTCAGATCTTGCAGACTGTTACACCAACTGGTCAAGCTGTCCAACAAGGTGGAATACAGGTGATAAAGTGTTAAATTTTAGTATCATATAGAGAGAGCTTTCAATAATTTATTTGACATTGCAGATCCTACCAGTCTATGGGATGCCTGATCTAATCTTACTTATTAATTTTTTAAACAGTTTCGGTAGGTTACTTAAATGAAGTCTAGCTTAGACCTCGTTAATAGGAAATCTTTGGACCTCCAGATCTCTTCTGTAGTGGGTTATTTTAAGAACATAAGTGCTTTTCCAGTCAACGCTATATACTTTCATTAAATTGTTCTCTATAAATGGTGTTTATATGAAAGTGTTTGGCGACTGGAAAATGACTTAGAACTTGGTTTTGTTAAACACTGGCTAAACTTGATTTAAACAACTGATCCTTTGCCTTTCATTGTCAGAGTACCCTTTCAAAATCATCATGCAGATTTTAAAAACAGTAATCAATACTTGTATTGGGAAAAATAATTGTTTTCAAATGTCCTAAATAAATAACAACTGTTATGTGATGATTTTTTTAGGTTGAACTGAACGAGCTTGAAGCCCGCAGTGAAACATACCCAGAGACAAGAGCATTCCTTAAGCTGCTTAATAACCTGACAGAGATTCCCCTCCCCACCACCCTGGGATCAGGTTATCGAGTGCCAGGCTTTGAGCCATATTTGGCCTTCCTAAGAGATGATGTGTTCCTTAAGTTTAATTCAAGAGGATACCAAGATCCCAATGAGAAGGTAGATTTATTTTTACTTACTTTAAAAGACTTGAAATGACAAGGAATGTCACAACCAACCATTATTACTGTTGAACCTCCCATAAGTAACAACCCAAAATGCAAAGATTTAGTGGGTGCTTACAGGAGGTGTACGTGAATCAAACCACCTGGGGCCTCTTCCAAGAAGAGGTCTTGACACATCTTCTTCCTGTGTTTCATGGAGAAATGATACTTTCCTCATACACTCACAGAGTAACTGGTACCAATTTAAATAACTGCTTTGGTGACACTTGATATGTTTTCAAGAGGCTAACTCACAATTAAAGCATTGAACCCTTAAATTTCCAAGAATGAGGGACACTACTATGAACTTATGTAAGTCTCAGAAAGTTTTAACATTCATTGTTTTAAAATCATGAGTTTTTTTTAGCAGATTTCATTGTCAAAGTTTTCAAGAGGTCTTGTTTAATTAGAGCTTCAGGCTCACCAAAAGACCTTGCCGAAATAGCCTGATTTCTGCATTATTCTTTGGTAACAAACTTCAAGATGGCTTTTCAACAAAATACAGATCCATAGTCACCAGCAATGTGCAAAACTCAAGTTTTAGCATAAGTGAGTGGCCATGGAAAGTGATATTGCTGACTAAAATATTTGATGAAATATGTTTGCTATTTATAACAGTGGAAGGTTGCCAGTGATGTTCTGCAGATTCTTTTCAAGTTAATAGAAGGTTATGTTCCAAGGCCAGAAGATTTTGTCAACCAAGTTGCTGAGATGCAAGGCGGAGAAAGAATTCTTGTTCCAAAGCCACCAGGGTTTAGTCTCATGACTTACATGCTGAATGACACACCTATGCTAAGAATGGTTAGGGAATGTTACTCATTTAGCTACAGTTACCAAAGAGGGGAGAAAAAAAATACACGTTTTCTCTTCTCACTCCCCGCCCTCTACCCCGCGCCTTTTGACTCACCCCATTTTCTCCTCTCTTTGGCGCTTTTGCAAGCAAAACATTTGCGCGCCCGAAGAAAACGCCTGCACTGCAGGCTACCTTACCTTGAGCTTTTATGGCTATTAAATTGTAATTCAAAATGAGTTCAGTAATCCCCATTTTTATTATCCAATAAAAGTAAGCATGTAGAAATACAACTTTTTGCCAACTATAAAAACATTGTTAGGTGAGGTTCAGAGCCACTTTAATTTTTGAAAAAATATGAAGGCCCATTTTCCCAGTTTACATATATGAAAACCCTACCATGTCATAACACCAGTAAAACAAATATTGTGACTTTGATCAATGCAAGCTTTTCCAAACAAAAATTTGCAGCAGCAAAGCTTATCATGTGAAGGTACATGTAAGCCTTTAAGGTGGCTCTGAATCCTCTCCCTCAATAGCTTTACTTATCATGTCTCTCCTCTTTCAGTTGCTGAATGTCATCGATGGTGCATCATCTTCACTTGAACACCTCTCTGTTACCTCTGGTAAAGTTTTGTTTTTTTAATTTTAAGGGCATTGTTTCTGAATTAAAGCAGCCATATTGTCACTAGATTATCAGTGAAAAACCAACTCATCTGATAATGTGGTTCCTGTGAGAGGAGTTTGCGAATGTATTGTAATTACTTAGCTGTTCCAATTAACATGGAACTCAGGCACCTTCTCAAAAAGTCACAAAAATAATAGCCAAACCCGTTGTAACATAGTCAAAACTCCGAACTATAAGGAGGCAAACCATCTAGTTTTTCACAAGTACAAGGCTGAGAAGCTGAACCAAGGCTGTTAGTAAGATTTCAAGTTGCTAAGGATAAGCAATTAGTAGGTGGGGGGGAATTGAACAGTTTTTCTATTTTCCTTTTGTTTCTTATGATAGTAGCAAGGAAAAATCCACAGTCCTCAGCCCTGCTGAAGTCAGGACAAGTGAGAAGAAGTAAACCATCTAATGTTCAGAACAGGAATCACATTGACCACTTGGCCACATTTTCTCCTTAATAGTCCTGACCTTGAACTTGATGCTCATCTACTGCACTCACTTATGGGATAATGTATTGTAAACCCAAAGAGGATTGTTACATCTCCATTTGCTTGTGTACCAACTTCTAGATAAACGTAATGGTTGCAGAGCATTTATTATAACTGATTAAGCACTTGCTGTGCTCTCCACTTACTGGTGATTTTGAAGGTTGTGATTAATTTCTGCAGATGTAAGGGAGGAGCTGGAGAAAGCAACATTGCTGTGTCTCAGAATGGTTGAAGTTGCACTGGAAAAGCAAGGGCAGTTCATGGAAATCTTCCGCAGTGTTCCACAGCAGTCAGCAGTAATGGTATCACCTTTAGAGGAACTCCTTCTTAGTATTAACCCACAGTCTAATACTGCAGACTATCTTCTTAAAATAATGAAGTAAGTAAATAAGCAGGTGGATTGATCTGGGGTTTATAGTTTCGTTTTAAGACGGAATCCATCAGGAAATTGAGTAATTTTAATTTTCAGTGGACAAAACTTGTACCAGAACTGACAATATTAATTTTAAATCATATCACATTCTTTTTCACATCTTTCAATGGCTATAGATATAATTATTAGTTATCTGTAATAGCACTTAAGACAATTTCTTATGTGAGCCCGAGAAATGGAATTTCAAATTTCACAGGAATTGTGAAAACGCAGGTAAAAATTTTATGCGTAAGATTTCATTTTGGTCCATTTTGTGAAATTTGAAATTTTTTTGGTGGGTTCCCATAAGAAATCCTCTTTGGTGTTATTACAGATAACTAATTACATCTGTAGCTCTTGAAAAAAAGTAAAAATGAATGTAGTATGCCTTAACTTATTCTGGTACAAGGTTTTTGTCCACTGAAAATAAAAATTTCTCGATTCCCTGATGTATTCTGTCTTGCAATATTACTCACCATGTTTGGTCAGGTATGACCATAAGCAGTACAACCTGTACTGATCAAATACATGCACCTAGTGCTTGGGCAAATATTGATTGATTGATTGGCCAATGTACACAACACTTGATCGGTAAAAATAGTGCTGCATCACAAAACAAGGTAGTTGAAAGGAGGAAAATGCAGGATACTAACTTGTCTTGTAACTAGAGTCAAGCAACTGAGAATTCATTTTTGCAAGTCGCAAGAAAGCTGGTCTTGATTTAAATCTGGATAAGTTTGGCAGCTGGATTAACAGTTAAGCCAATCAAAACATAGTAATAGTAATACACTCAATTGTTCTCTGTAAACCGCAGTGGTAGCTTAAAACGCTTATTTCTGTGTGGTTGAGAATTTTTTCTCTTTTACTGCAGATTTGTTTCTCACCTTCACACTGGAGCTGAACTCATTCTTTCTGTTGTCAAAATTTTGTGTGTGGTCTGTCAGTCAACAACAGTTCAGAGACATCTTGTGAGTTTGTTGACTGCAAATCAGGTGAGTTCAAGAGATACCGTGTAGTGACCAACATCCATTTTCTCCAAACAATGTCAGTCAATAATCATGAGAAGAAGTCTTGAGAATTAATGAAATAGTCACTAAGGGGAAATGCTTTGATCTTTTAACAAATTCTCTCAACTAAGATTAGACTGGAGAATTTGTGTGGATATTGAGGCCGTAAGAAAGGGTTACATACATTGATGGCTTAGTTGACTGAAAAAATAAAGCTAAGTCACCGTCCCATTAAAAATCAAAGTTGGGGTGAAAAATCTTCTCTATGCCTTATTTTGCCAATTATTGCGTTCGTCAGAACGTATCTCAATCTTGGTGTTCCTGTGGTACAAAGCCACAAATTTTCGAAGCATCGGGGGCGACTGCCGATTAGCCGCCGCTACTGATTTAATCAGGGGCATCTCGGCCGGGAAACTGGACTCCTTTCCACTCGATTTCGTTTTCGTGAGTGACGAAAGCGGATCCGCAATCAATTACCTCCAGTATCAACAATTTATAGTGCAGTGAAAAAATACTGGTAAATTGCTCATACAACAGAAGGCTTTGTCTTATTTGCGCTTTTTTATTTTAATCCCAAGTCTGTATCACAGCAAATCCTGATTGGATTTGTTGACCAGCTGGAAATAAATGAACCGGAGGACCCTCAAGCAAAAGATGAAGAAGAACTTGGAAAGGGTAGGTCTTTGTTTGTTATTGCTAGTATTACCCTTTAATAAGGAATGTTTTGTTTAAAACTCAATCTTGAAGCTTTTGTCCACTTTTGTCCACTTTAAATTAGCCCGTTCCAGGCCTTCAGATTGTGGAGACGGCGCAAAGAGATGCGAACAGGAAAAGCAGCGAAAGGGGGTGGGGTAGGGGGTTTCCGGTCGTTTCTATACAAGTTTACTCAGTCGAGTTGTAAATAGTTCCACGTACTTGACCTAAAGAACGAAGAATATTCACCCAAAATGTTTTTCTTGTTCACGCGCAAACTATATTGGAAGTGAAAGAAACTTTGATGCAATTTCACTGCTTGAGTTCGTCTCGAAACGACTTGTATCGAAACCGAACCGATTTCCTCAGGGGGTGAGAGCGAGTTCCCTCCTCTCTCCGGCCCTCGCTTCCTCCTTACTTTTTTCCCGTTCTCTGACTTCGCCAAGCACTCCACTATCTATTTCTTTGTGATTTCCTTGTCTCAGAATTTATTATTGCACAATTTTTATCTCACAATTTTATTTATAATTTCCTTGTCACAGAATTTCTTGATGAGAGGTCTTATGGTGCGGCACAGATACGAAATGCAGTAAGACAAAATATTTTGAGATTGATCCTTCATTCACTGCAGCACCCATCGCCGAATCTTGCTCATTTTCTAATGGGTTTTCAGCTGACAAAGCCGGCATCAAAGACCAATCTCCAGGACCCAGGTAAGTAGCCGGGGTGTTTGTTATTCTATAAGCTGTTGAGGACCTAACGTCTATCAAAGGCCCGAATGCTAATTAAAAGACTCAGAAGTCCTGTCTCCTTTACCTTCTTTGAATTCGTACATTCTCCTACGCAATGAATATAACATTCCTATGTTTCACTGTCACTTTCGAACTACGGTACTTAGTTTAATTCACTATTTACAAAAATCAAGAGCCGAGTTATTGGCACACTAATGGCTTATAACAGAGTGATGGCCGAATTCAAAGAGGGTAATCAATTCAAGGGATATACCGCCTAGTTTGCGACAAACTCAAACTCGGCAGGTAAAGCAAGCACATTTTTACAGGAGAAGAAAATCAAAAGCAATTCTGCAGCAATTATCCTTGTCTTCAGAGACTTGAAGGGAGCACAAAACAATTTGGGTATTAGTTCTCGAATTTTTTTGCCGGTCTCACTCTAACGTACTGGCTGTTTTGCGTTTCAATTAGAGGTGCATATATGGGCGCGTGGACCTTTTTTCAGTGAATTTTTTTATATTTAATAGGTGTCCTTGGAGCATCTAAGACATGTCTTCACGCAGTCCTAGACATGCTGAATAGAGGTGTAGATACACACCACGGGCCTTTTTGTCTGACAGAAACTCCAAAATTTGCTGAGCTTGCATATCAGCTAATCTACAGTCTATGCGCCAATAAAGACACTGCTACACCAACACTGCGCTATCTCAGAACTAGCCATGACTTCTTGTACCGTCATCTCCAACATTTACCTTTTAAGAATCTTTCCAGCATGGTTGGTGATGATGGTCAACCATCACTGCCGACGCAGACAATTGTTAGTCAACAGTCGTGGCTTCTGAAGACTGCAGCTATTGAACTGAGAATGACTGCTCAAGGGCGTCAAAGGTCACACGCGCAGAGGCTTTTAGTGTTGTTAATGGGCGAGCCCTCAGCACAGGCAGTATTGGGCATGTCACAGGTTGTACCAGAGCTTGTTGCAAGACGACTAGAAGATGATTTCTCCTCAGCTGACACTAGCCATGTTGTGTATGCTGATATGGGAAAGGCACAGACTCGGCGCAAGCTTTTAGCCATTCTGGAGTCAGTTGAGTTCAGTCAAGAGCTACCCCCGCCTTTGCATTTGAATTATTTCGATGTGTCCGTCACTGAGAAAGCCATAAGTTCATGTGAGCAGAAGGACGAGGACAGTGGTGTAATGTTCTGTAATGTGCCTGCTCTCCATAAGTTACTGATGGGTGAAATTTCAGGGGTGCAAGGAACGGCAACAGCTGGACAAAGGAACTTCTTGATTCAGGTAAAACTTGTGTCTTGCCGTATTGTGAAATGTGGTCTAGTTTGGGGCCAAAGATAACGAACTCACCTGAACATCAACCTAGTTTCTGCAGAGTTACCACAGGGGATAAAGTCCGGGGAAGCAAGAATNCGAAGAATATTCACCCAAAATGTTTTTCTTGTTCACGCGCAAACTATATTGGAAGTGAAAGAAACTTTGATGCAATTTCACTGCTTGAGTTCGTCTCGAAACGACTTGTATCGAAACCGAACCGATTTCCTCAGGGGGTGAGAGCGAGTTCCCTCCTCTCTCCGGCCCTCGCTTCCTCCTTACTTTTTTCCCGTTCTCTGACTTCGCCAAGCACTCCACTATCTATTTCTTTGTGATTTCCTTGTCTCAGAATTTATTATTGCACAATTTTTATCTCACAATTTTATTTATAATTTCCTTGTCACAGAATTTCTTGATGAGAGGTCTTATGGTGCGGCACAGATACGAAATGCAGTAAGACAAAATATTTTGAGATTGATCCTTCATTCACTGCAGCACCCATCGCCGAATCTTGCTCATTTTCTAATGGGTTTTCAGCTGACAAAGCCGGCATCAAAGACCAATCTCCAGGACCCAGGTAAGTAGCCGGGGTGTTTGTTATTCTATAAGCTGTTGAGGACCTAACGTCTATCAAAGGCCCGAATGCTAATTAAAAGACTCAGAAGTCCTGTCTCCTTTACCTTCTTTGAATTCGTACATTCTCCTACGCAATGAATATAACATTCCTATGTTTCACTGTCACTTTCGAACTACGGTACTTAGTTTAATTCACTATTTACAAAAATCAAGAGCCGAGTTATTGGCACACTAATGGCTTATAACAGAGTGATGGCCGAATTCAAAGAGGGTAATCAATTCAAGGGATATACCGCCTAGTTTGCGACAAACTCAAACTCGGCAGGTAAAGCAAGCACATTTTTACAGGAGAAGAAAATCAAAAGCAATTCTGCAGCAATTATCCTTGTCTTCAGAGACTTGAAGGGAGCACAAAACAATTTGGGTATTAGTTCTCGAATTTTTTTGCCGGTCTCACTCTAACGTACTGGCTGTTTTGCGTTTCAATTAGAGGTGCATATATGGGCGCGTGGACCTTTTTTCAGTGAATTTTTTTATATTTAATAGGTGTCCTTGGAGCATCTAAGACATGTCTTCACGCAGTCCTAGACATGCTGAATAGAGGTGTAGATACACACCACGGGCCTTTTTGTCTGACAGAAACTCCAAAATTTGCTGAGCTTGCATATCAGCTAATCTACAGTCTATGCGCCAATAAAGACACTGCTACACCAACACTGCGCTATCTCAGAACTAGCCATGACTTCTTGTACCGTCATCTCCAACATTTACCTTTTAAGAATCTTTCCAGCATGGTTGGTGATGATGGTCAACCATCACTGCCGACGCAGACAATTGTTAGTCAACAGTCGTGGCTTCTGAAGACTGCAGCTATTGAACTGAGAATGACTGCTCAAGGGCGTCAAAGGTCACACGCGCAGAGGCTTTTAGTGTTGTTAATGGGCGAGCCCTCAGCACAGGCAGTATTGGGCATGTCACAGGTTGTACCAGAGCTTGTTGCAAGACGACTAGAAGATGATTTCTCCTCAGCTGACACTAGCCATGTTGTGTATGCTGATATGGGAAAGGCACAGACTCGGCGCAAGCTTTTAGCCATTCTGGAGTCAGTTGAGTTCAGTCAAGAGCTACCCCCGCCTTTGCATTTGAATTATTTCGATGTGTCCGTCACTGAGAAAGCCATAAGTTCATGTGAGCAGAAGGACGAGGACAGTGGTGTAATGTTCTGTAATGTGCCTGCTCTCCATAAGTTACTGATGGGTGAAATTTCAGGGGTGCAAGGAACGGCAACAGCTGGACAAAGGAACTTCTTGATTCAGGTAAAACTTGTGTCTTGCCGTATTGTGAAATGTGGTCTAGTTTGGGGCCAAAGATAACGAACTCACCTGAACATCAACCTAGTTTCTGCAGAGTTACCACAGGGGATAAAGTCCGGGGAAGCAAGAATTTTTTATTCTGAAAGTTAGGGAAATTTTGCAAACGAAGGGAAAATCTTGGTTCTTGGTTTAACAGTCGATACCTTTTAAATAACTTTGGCGGTCATGTTCTATGTGCCCTTAACATGAATAAATGGTGAACTTTTGATACAAAAAAAATAGATTTTGGTCAATGTGTGGGTATAAACAGTTGTCACTTCCTTGCAGTGTCCTAAAATAATCTGTGCATTCACAAATGCGTTTGTGTTGGTCGCAGTGTCGAGTCCTGTATGTTTCTTGAAAGTATTTAAAGGGACAGAGGTCCAAGTGTCCTTAAATAAACTCACAGTGTCCGTATCTTAGACATAGGAAGGAAGGGAGGGAGGGGTCCCTCAGGAGAATGTTGACAGTATGTATTTAATTTTGGTACAGGAAGTCAAAGACATTCTTCATAGCGTTGTGCTTCGTAACATGATGCGAGAGAGCTTGCACATCAAGAAAGAATCCTTTGAAGCGTGGAGGAGGGTTGTAGAGGTGACCCTTGCTTCCTGTCCAGCTGATATTTTGCCGAAAGACACCAGACAGACTGTTATAGCAGATATACTGCAGGATTTACTGTCCAAGGTACATGTATGACCTTCACAGTTAATGAATTTTAACTCTCCAGTTGGTTCCTTTTCTTTGTCATTTTCCTTCTCTTTTTCTTGCTCCTCTTTTTCTTTATTTACTTGCTGTAATAAAAAGGTGTCTATTGATCTTCACATACTTCAGAGAAAGTACTCGCAGTTAACCGCCGTATCACTACTCATCTATGATGTACTTTGGTAAGCGCTGGTCTGTCGAGCGGGAGGCCGCGAATTCAGAGCCTGACGGGACCAACACAGTCTTTAAATTACTGAATAGAAACTGCTGCCTTGGTGCTGACATCTGCGAACGGTTAAAACTTTCAAGCCTTCTCGGATAAGGTTGATAAACCGGAGGCTTTGCTCAAATAAAAATTCCACTCTTTGTTCGTAAAGAGTAGCGGATGTTGTCCTCGATGCAGTAGTGGTTTATCTCAAATTCTCATTCACTTTAAGGGGTATTCATAACTCAGTAACTATTGTAAACCGCTCCGTAAGCAGTGTGGCAAATGTCCAGGCCAGTGTTGAAGATTTTCCCTGAAATACTGGCCTGCGAGCAGGCTCACTTGAGCGAATTCGGGGAAAATTTTGGCGGTGCATGGAGCCGGCATCCAGTAAGTGCTCGCAGGCTATCCCTGAAAAGCCCTGAAGGAGTGGATAATAGGATGCTTAATGAATCAGTATACAATGAATTTTAGATCGCAGATGAAGATGCGTTACCAGAGCTTACATCACCAGTATCAGGAGTCCTTCTCTCCCTCCTAGCCCATCTGCGTCAGTGTGCAATATCCCTGGACTCCTCCTTAGCTACATCCTTACCAGTCCTAGATGGTACAGGAGGAGGGAGACCCCTGCATCAAGCGGCTAGCGGTAGCTCTCTTCCTGTTGGACCATCTGTGGCTATTTTAAAGGGGCTTATTGAGACAGTGCTTCGATCTGGAGGCGGGCTGCAACGGGTCAGAGCTAATTTGTACGCCGCCCTGTTGTATTTCATGCAGACCGCACCAGAGTCTCAGCAAACAAAGGAAAGAGGTAACATGCTTAAAATGTAAAAAACATGTCCTGTCCTTGTTCATCGTGGATGATGTGTATAAAGAGTAAAATGTCGCCTGATGAAGACCTGCAGTTAGCGGTCGAAACGTCGCGATCAATTCAGAGATTAAGAATCACGTTTACTGCAATCGGCATTTTCAAATTTCTTAAAATAGGAAATAAGCAGATAGAAACTGTCCAAAACAGTTCTTATGGAAAAAAAAAATGGCGTAAAACTACCTATTTACAGGTAGAAGTCATGAACAGTAAACCACAAGTTATGGGAAAACTTGGTGACGTGGTTCAAATTGCCGTAAACGTGGCTCTAAACACAGGAAAAAATAACGGATTCCCATTTTTGGATATTTTTGGGTATTTAAAGAATACCCATAAAAATCCCAAATTTGGCAAAGTGAGACAAGTCCCAACCAGGGAATTCCCAACCAAGTTCCCAGATTGGGACTTGTCTCACTCTTCCAAATTTGGGATTTTTGTGGGTATTCTTTAAATACCCAAAAATATCCAAAAATGGGAATCGGTTATTTTTCCCTGTGAAAGTGACAATCGTGAGACAAACGATCAAACGAAACCCTTTATATGCCCTGTACTTTTCACCGCTCGTTTTTGGCCAAAGAATAACTGTTACTAGTGGTATAATTCATACCTTCTCGGTCTGTTTATTTTGGGTAGAATTTTATTCACTCTTTTATTACCTCAATAGAACTCGTTAGCTTTTTTGTTTTAAAACTGTGAAAGGTTTTAACCCAGGAGTCATTTCAAAAGTAGATTGAGTTTTGTTTTCCCAATGTAGGTCATGTGATAATACTTTTGAGAACTGTTTCTTACACATTTCGGATAATTCTTGTGCATATATAAGCATAATTATTTATGAAGAGACAGATGGTCAAATTCCCCTGAGATCGTGACTGGGAAAACAAAGGATACAAGCTAAAGAGGTCTATTTGTAGAGCAGTAGTTTCTAGGAGGTCCTCTATCGGACGAATACTAAGAAACTAGACCTTCGCCCAGACTGAATTATGAAGCAGAAGTTGTGAGGCCAGGGACGCAAAACATTTGCCTTGAGTAGAACCTTGTGCTTATCGCGTTGATGCTTAATTTTGTTAACAGGTGTAATGGAAAATGTGTTATCACTTTACCCTGGTCAGTCATGGGACACCAGTATTTTACCTGTACTATCCAGCTATGGTGAACCATTCATGGACACTGTCTGTAGAGACTCCTGTGATGGGCACGATGTGGGAAGGGTAAGACAAGAGAAACCTTGTTAAATGGGGCGTGCCTGTGACCCTGGGCTGCCTACAGATTATAGCTATAGTACTCGCCTCTTGCAAACTGTCTCTTTTGCCCAAGTTCGTGATTTAGCGTTGCTTTTTCGGAGCCTGTTCAAAAACGTGCAACGCAAAAATTGTGCAGAGAAACGTCCGCCTACCCGTGTTACACGGCGTCAACGTTGAACGCAACATTGTTGCGCTAAAAATCGTTGCGAATCGTCCTGTGTAACATAACCTTAAGCTGTACGTGCAGTAAAGGGAACTAAATTTTTTGTTTTTGTTTTTGATGCAGATGCTGGCATTTTCTCTTTTGGATGCAATAGTTGCAGTTGACTGGCAACAGCGTTGGTTGAACTATCTCAGCCTTAAGGGATACCTCAGGCACATGGTGGAGGGACTAGCTCATGAGGACCACATACTGCAGTCAATGTTGAACCCTTCACCTGAGCCCCTCAAGGTAACGGCCCTAGGGGCTTTGACTTTTAGGTGTTAAGAAAGGTGTCTAAAGGACTAAAAATATCGTATTGCAAGGGGTATGCACGGCCATAGATAGGATTTGTAGCGTTTGTTTATAACCAGGCAGTTATTGCTGTTGTCTTTTCAAAGAAACAGAGAAATTTGTAACAATAGAGTTTAAGCGTCACGTATACGGCTAGCGGCAAACGTCAGATTCAAGTTGAGAATTTCTGGAAATAGAAAATGAGAAGATAAAAACAGCTCAGAACAATTCTTATGGATAAAAAATTGCGTGAAACTACTAATTTATGTGTAGAAATAGTGAACCGCAAACGACAAGGTAAAGGGGAAGCTTGGTCACGTGGTACAAATTGGCGTTGCCGTTTGACGTAAACATGATACATGCATGAGAATGGCCATGTTGAGGCAGTTCTTGCCACCTTCCAAGAAAACTTAGAATTCTTTTAAACACAAAAGCCTAATGATTTTCTTGAGTGGATAGCTGCGACGCCACCACTGGTTTCCCCGCCAAATGACGTCTAAGAAACGAGCGCGGAAATTACATACTGATGATGGTGTCTCTGCCCAGATCTGGATAGTGCTTCTCATGGGTTCTAGAGGCTTCTCTAGCGTTCTAGACTAAATGCTAGGACAGAAAAAGCTACGGATAAAAATTGTAGATAGATAGGTGCTCTAGAAACGTGCTAACAAAGAACTTGGAGCCTTGTTATGTTGCTACGCAAATTCGTACTCTAGATTAACTACAAACGATTAGCATTGTCATAAAGGGTGTGTTCATTGACGGCGTAACTCTCTTTTGCAACAGGCATTGTACATTTACGAGTCCAAAATGGCCCTTTTAACCCGCATTGCACAGTCTGCAGAAGGTGCTAAGGTGCTTCTTCAAGCGGGGCTATTATCACGTTTGGCAGAATGTACCTTCCTCGATCAGAGGCCTGAGCGTGACAGGACAATAGGTTTGATGTCCAGGAGCCTTCATGGTCCCGATCAAGACATGACCTCTGCTGTGCCTGACTCATTTGTCCCCTCAGTTATTGACAGATATAGACAGCTACTTATGCCCGCTCTCAAGGTAACACTGGCCATCTTGACGTCACTTGGATCACAGCACAGGGAGGCTGCTACGAAGGTGCGTAAATCCCAACTCCAGAAACTATGAAAGGAATGGGTACAAGCTTTCGGCGCAACGACTTTTGAGATTGTTTAGCTGGACAAGCGCAAGCGTTATGTACTTATGATTGGTTGCCTTGAATGCCATCGACCAACCATATTACTAACGCTTGTCCACCCAAACGGTTCCAAAGCTTGTACTCATTCTTACTTGAGTTTCTGACGTGGGAAATAGTACGAAGAGAAAAGCAACTGAGAGATTTATCCTTGTGTTCACTGTCCTAACATCAACACGCATATCCTTTACAGTTGTCTCGATATGTCGGTAATACTAATTGGGATAATTTGTTTTATTACCAGCTGTTGTATGAGCTTGTCAGAGACGGGCTAAAAAAAATAAAAATGACTAATAAAATCACTTAAAATGACTATCCAAGTAGTTTGTAAGAAAGTAGACCCAATCGTGGGTTGCCATTTTATGCTTGGTGATTGCTTATCGGCCTTTGAGCCAACTGTGTTGTTGCTAGTGGTTTTTGCAAAGTTGTCTTGTCCGTTGATATGATGTCCAACGTTTCCGGCCTCACACGGCAGGCAAATTGAGAGAAGACTAATAAGAACATCTTGTAACGAAAGTGTCTTGATTTAGATTGTGCTTTTTCCTCCACTCCTTCCCCCTTTTATTTTCCACTGATATATATCCGTGTCACAGGCGCCTGGCTCCCTTGGCGTGGGGGCTCATGGCTGGGGGGCGCGGGTTTGCCAGCTGTGGGGGCGTAACTTTGTCTAGGGGAGGGCTTTGCCAAAAGTGGAAGCCCCCGGACATCCTTAGCACCAACCTCCACTTAGCGACGCAGTTGTTAATTGCAGGTTTTGCACTTTGTGGTTGCCCATGTGGACGTTTTTATCAGCATTCTTCAAGACCGACACACCGTACATACATCAGGCTCATTACGTGAAGTAGGGCTTGTTACAGGCATCATGTGCAACATGGGGCTGACCGAGGCGAGTTTAACAGCTGACGAAGAACTGGGGCAAGAACAAATCCAACTCAGGGGACCCCTGGCAAGAATCCAACGACTAATGATTGGGTTGTTTCCAAGATACTGTTCAAGTGATTGTTGGGAAAAAGTAAGTTGTATTTGGAGCGAAAAAGGAAAATCGTCGTATAAAGTATCTCCTTCCCCACCTAAATGTAAAAGAAATACCGATTCCAATGTTGTAGGGTTTCTTGTCGTTATGAAGCTATTTCGCTTAACCAGGTTTTTCCACGTACCCCCTTGACTTTTAGATCTTAGAAACCTTATCTTAATTCATGTTTCGGTCTGTATTGGTATTTTTATTTCCTCTGATATCAACTTCAATACATTTGCCTTCTTTCTGAATTCATAGTTGTTCGCTGCTTTGTCTGGTGGCCACAAAATCAACCTTTTTAAAAACGCTTTACAAAATGCGACTTTGTTGTCCTAAAGAGAGACACACTTTTAGCTTAAATGATCCACCCTCACATCAGTCTTGTTCTTTGATTCTGTTGGGATTTCATCGCCTAAATGACAGACTATTTGTGGTTAAAATTTTTAATCCTTTTTTTTGCAGATTATCAAATCTATGTTGGAGGAAAACAACGAAGAGCCTGGTGCCAAGTACAGTTTGGTAGCCATGGAAACCACCGAAAAACTGCAAAGGATCTGCTCTAATATTGTTGGCTATTGTAAAACCGTGATGTCTTTAACGGGTATTGACATACTTATTTTGCTATTAATACCTATCTTCCTTTCTCCCCTATTTTGACGTTTTCTTTTGTTCTTGTTCATTTGCATTAGATGGGACGTTTGAGCTGGGTATAACATCACACACACAGTTACCCCTTTTCGAGGGGCAGGTGAAAGGGTGGCGGGGGGGGGGTGGAAATGTCCAACTGATGGCTCGATTGAGTTTGATCGACCTTAAGTTGGATTTCCTACGTCGAGAAATGTTCGCGTGCTTACGCGTGTAAAATTTACGCGGGTAAGTAAAATAGGGCAATGTATGGAAGGTGGCGCGTAAGCGTAAAAGTTGAACCTCGCTCAACGTTCACTTTAACGCGGGGCCTTCCATACATCGCCGTTTTATTAACGCAGAAAATTGTTGCGCGCGTAAGCACGTAAAAATTACGCGAAAGTGGAAATAAGTCTGGATTAGAAAAAGAAGAGTGTGGCAAGGAGAAGCAAGATGAATAAACCTCTGCCTTTGTCGAAAGAAATGAAAAAAATTTGAAAGCCACAGTAGTACAGTAAGCATCGAACTAGACAATTTTGAGGGGGGTGGTGGGCGGAGATAATATATTATCGTAGGTGACGTCATGAAGAGGCAACTCAATAAGATCACGTCAGACTCTTCTTAAAATATGACCAATATGACCGGTTTGACAGGTTTTTTTAGATCGGTAATGTCATCGATTAGTTGACTAATAATAAGAAATGCTCATTGGTTCATTCATACGGCAAAAAAATCCCGGATATTCTATGCCCTTTATACTACTAGCCATACACAGGTGTTGCAGTGCACTTGTACGGTGCCTCTTGACCGTTTAATAGAACCTGTACGCACCGAATAAAACTTAACAGACATAAAAGCCAATACTGAAACATTACTTGATGGAGCTTGAGTAAAGGTGACCAGCTTCTCCTTAGAAGACGTCCGTTTTTGAACTAAGAAAAGCCATTTTACGGACGTCCGGCAAGTGACCTGTAATTATCGTTGATATTGTCTGGTCCCCCTTAGGTTCTGTTGGCTCTCACTGCCAAGCGCTGTTTTCACCAAGTCTTACCGACTCATTATCACGCGATGCTCGTTTCACCAGAGATGGTAAGCAAATGAATTAACAACGTTAGGGGAATGGGGAGTTTCTTTGTCATAATGCGTATGGTACAATCACCGAATAACCTAATTTTTAAAAATAATGATTTAGTCCTTCAAATGAAGACAACGAACAATACACATGCAGTTTACAGCTAACCAACAGTGGTTTTCGCAGCGTCAAAAAACGCGTCCAAACAAATGGAGTGCTTTGCTAAAGCAGATCGCAAAGTCTTCTAATAATAAATAATAATATAAAAAATTAATAACGCGCAAGTATCGATGTAACAATAATCAAATGCGCGATGGTTTTCCAAATATCATTTATTAATTAATGCAACGAGGGGATAGGCTGTCTTGAAACATATACTTTTAATCAGCTTTGTTGATGGTGACTAAGGAAACAGAAAACACGATCGAAACTGGTGAATTACTTCACGATATTGAGCAGGAAGCAACGGTAGTGACATGTGTAGAAGGCCTAAATGCGGAGACCGCTAATTATGCGTTATCTAGAATCTAGAATTGGCACTAGAACACTGCACCTGACTGATAAAGGTTTTAACTGTGGGTTATGGGAGTTCTTGTTGTTCCTTCTGCTCCATTATTAACTCTCATCTCTTGTACCCGCTGTAGCTGTTCGTTCCTCCGCCGCTGTGTCGTCTCACCGACCTGTTAGCCTTGGTCTGCCTGTGGCGTTCATGAAGAAATGTAGTGAACAGATCTTTCAGACGGCTGAGTTGTACTCACAGGCGCGCTTGAAGCTACAGAACTTGACAGAACTCACCAGCGATGAACTGAGAGAGGTACAGAGCGGTTATGAACGTTAATATAGAATTACTGTCGCTGTAGCACTGATTTTCCATATAATGTCAAGCGTATATTCAATGGATGATGACCGAGATCCAGTGAACCAATGAGAAAGCTTGAAGTTGAGAATTTAGTAACGTTCGTTTTCTCGGTTTTTTGGTGTCTATAATTCGTCAAGTGGGGATTTCACTGAAGTAGGAAAGTTCAAAACACGAATTTGCCCACGTATGTCTATGACTGAACGAGTGCTTTGGTAAATAAATTGCTTCACATTCTTGAAAACGTTCGTTAATAGTTTTGTTTACCTTCAGTTTAGTCAATCTCGTTTTAATGGATCAGTACAAGAAAGACTCACCACACAACAGAGGCATCAGCTGGCTCAAAAATGTCTCACACAGATCGTGCAGTTCAAGGGACGTGAAATTTCTTCTCAACTATGTATCCTTTGATAATACCCCAGGAACACTCAACAGATCAAATTGGAATTTAGAAATGTGGCTTGGGATCGGGCGTTCACTTCTTCTAAGAAAAAGGGAAGAAGAGCCGCCTGATCTTTGGTTATAAGAAGTGATGTTTTTTTAGGAGAAGGGAAAATCGCAGGTCCTTGAGAAAAACCACTCGGAGCAAGGGAAAGAACCAACAACAACTCATATACGGCATCGCCTTCGAGACGCAAACCCAGGCCAATTTGACGGGTGGAGAGTGCTCTTACCATTACAATGTATAGTGTAGCCTTCCTTTGTCTTAAGACCTTAGATCTGAGACAGAGCAGTAGTGACATCACTGATACAAGCGGTTCGACTGCGGTATGGGGGACGGAACGTATTTTTAACCTTAACTCTTTTACAACAGACATTATCGAGAACTGTTTATTCATTATATGGCGTCACTTGGATTTTTACTTCTTGCATTGCATCCCATCAGATGAAGAACGGCGCATGCTTGCTGGTCCGACACTGGGCGGAAATCGTATGAGAAGGCTACAAGGTATTTGTTAAGTTATCTGCTAACTTAGAAAAGAACATAGACAGGTATTAGTCCTTTGCAGCCGTAGTCCGTGCGCAGTTACCCTGTTACCACCGCAGCCACCACAACAACATACAAAATTTTGAATCTCTGTCGGTTCTAAACATTTGATCCTTCACCTTCCTTGCCTATTTAAATATTTCGCTACATTGAATTTTGCTCTGCACTGCACTGAATGATTATGTCTTTCTGTCCACCGTAAGGCTTTCTATCGCGTTTTACTAATAAGTATAGTGAAGGGGCATCAGAAACGAGACGCAGCTTTAACTCATTTCTGCCATGAGCCTTAGGAATTTGGCGTTTTGTTATGTTGTTGATTCAGTCAAAGTAATAACTGTTCGTTTGTTTATGTAACCAGACTGGGCGTCACCCTCCAGGAGTTCTGCGTTTTCATCTGATCCTGGTCAGGAAGCTTCTGCTGGAGTTGGGGGTGGTGTAACGCGAGAGGAAATAGATGCTGTAAGTCTCGTTTGGGAATAGAATAAACATAGGCCATTTAACGTGGATGCACCTGAATGCTTCGGTCTAAATGTTTCCATTTTGCCACTGATAATGTAGGCTGGTTTGTTGTTTAAAATTATCCAGAAATTAGGTGTCAGTGCACATTAAAATGATGAATAGAGCAAATTTGTGGCGGAAAACTTAGCGTTTTTACAGTCCTCTATTTTTCTGTATGATCGTCGAAGTCGAGCGTTCGCTTTTTACCATCTCGGTTTCATACATTCCGAAGGACATGCGCCAGGGACTCGTTACTCGAAAGGCACGGAAACTTTTCGGGCCCGAAGGCGGATTTTAAACTATCAAAACGTGTCGAGTAGTAGCACAGTTCCTACCTCACAAACCAGTCAATTTTGCTTCGTTCACTGACCGTTTCGTTGTATCATTGTCAATATTATTAAAACTTTGATCTTGAAGGTGAATACAGCAAACACAAAACAGCTTTCCGGGGCCGAAAAGCCACCGGGACTTTCGAGAAAGAGGCCCCAGGGTTTATAACGGTAAGGGTAGGGATGCGAGCTCCTCTCAAGACTTAACCCGTCCCCTCAAGCACATTTGTTAATTTTGAAGCCAAGATGGCGGTTTGTTACTGTAAGCGCCCGATCTCGATAATTCTTACGGGAAATAGACTATAAACATTCTGCTGCAAATACGAAAGCTACGCACAAGTGTGTCTCTCACTGGGCGACCTTTCTTGCTGCCAGGAGTGAAGGCAGCGGACTGAACAATTTGACCGTTCACAAGGAACTTTTCAACATTTTCGCTCTGTTCACACGCAACTGACGAATCAGAGCGCTACTGTAGCAAATCAAAGTGGCATCTCCCGGCTGTGGTACCACGAATTCATGCAGCCGTGCCTTTTTAGTACAGGAATTTAGACTGTTACGGTGTCCACACTGTGTCGGTCAAATTTTCCGTACACAAATTTAGACGGTCATGGTGTTCACATTGCGCCAGTCGAAAATCAGTCGTCCGGTGATGTGTTTACGTCGTGTAAAAGGTAGCCTGCGAGCAAGCCCTCCGGTGCGGGAGGGGGGGGGGGGGCGGGGGGGGGCGCTCTTCCCGCCTCGCCTCCAGAGCGCCCCGGAGGACTTGTTGGCAGGCTATCTAAAAGGAGTTCTTTTGTTCCTCTGCTGTCTACGATTTTTGTTTCATAGGCAAGGTTAGTGCTCGCGGCTCGCTGCAGTAGTACTAAAAGTATATTGCACTTTCCTTGCAGCTTAAAAGAGAATCCATAAGTACACTGACAGAGGCGTTTTTCAAAAAGCTCATTGAAATTGAACAGGTACTGAAATATGGCAAGCAGGTTGTATTGTCGCTTTGTACTTGCTCTATTGAATTCATGTGTGCGGATAAGGATGTGTGCGAGACTTTGGGACCGACTGAATATCGTAAACTGCCGTTTCAAGCTCCAACCCCACACATACCTATAATCCCCCCAGTCAAAGGCCGATTTGGCTGTAAACAAGAAAAGAAGCCCGATTTTAAGTCCCCTCTAAATTGTATCGATATGAATTCGATTACTTATGAAGCCTTAAAGATTAAAAACCAGTGAATACAAAATGTATTCTGATCAGCACTGATACAGCTTGCTTCGAACCGTTTTTTCTATTGTGGTTACAAGTCTCCTCGGATATAAACCCCTCTGTTTATCAGCCCTCTTAAAACCCCTTACGGAGATGTATAAGCGCTGAGCTTAAAAGAGGCAGTTTACGGTACGTGTATAACTTCGGCATGGTGTAACAGTATTGTGGTAGGTTTGCTCCACGTGGCTACAGATTACCAGGTTTTACGACTTGTAGCTTGCGTACCAGGCGCAGAGGGGGCGGGGGGGAGGAAGAAGACTTCTGTGTTTTCGTTGTACGCTATATGTATATGTCTTGAGTTATTAAACATGGCTTCCCCTGGCGCCTAAAAATAGGTGCCAGGAGAACCTAAAAATATACCATACTAGGTAGAACGCAATGTAGATTGATGCTAAGGGTTTTGCCTTGTTCTGTGAACATGTAACGTTGCTCTCATCTGCGTGTTTACGAACCTTTCCTGGTCCCTTGTTTTTTGTATGTTAACTTTCATTGTGAGATGTAACGTTTTTTTTCTTTGAATTTTAGACGCACGGAAAGGGACGCACCCGAGTCGGTTTTATCCAAGTTCTTGTTCGGCGCATTAAACGTCTTTTGACGCTTCACGGAACGCCTGCGCGTTCAGAGCAAATGGTCAGCGGATTACGTTGAACAATCACACCCGTGCCTTAGACACTTAGCGCTCTACTCCAACAAGACCTGGAATAGGCGATTGCGTAGAAGTAACCGATGACAAGCTAAGAAGCAGCACCTAAAGAGGCTGCACGATGATCATAGCCCTCAGTTGTATTGTTACCGGACCTTAACGTCTTTGTAAATATCCGTAAGGTCGTGAATTGACTCTTGTCACCATTACGGTCTGTAACCGAACACATACGCCTACAGCAACGCACAGAAAAGCAACAGCTCTTGCGTGTTCCGTTCTGCTTGTCTGTATCCAAAATCTGTAGAGGTTGTCATAATAAAATAAAAAGAAACCTTTTTTGTCTATATATCGTTATGGACAGCGCCTGTGGTAGACGTGGTAGTGTGGTAAATGCGATGAGTAGTCACTTATTTCTCTTAGACTTCTTAAAAGTCCGGTTTTGTTTACGCTGCGAGCAAAGGCTACATCTTCGCCGGCGGTGTGAGCTGGCGTGCAAAAAGTAGCTACTTCTCGCACGCCAGCTCACACCGCGAAAATGTAGCCTTTACTCGCAGTGTTGGTTTGGTTGGGTAATGTGTCAGGAGAGAAAACGGGTGACTTAGGCTCATACATCAACAGCTTGGAAAATATGTATTTTTCCATAACGTTTCAGGTCTTTAATGATTACTGTTTATGGAACACCGCCATTCGACCATAGCCTGAGACTTGCTAGTGAGGCGTCATCAGGAAGAGATTTCTGCGCTCGTTCCTCAGACGTTATTTTGCGAGGAAGCCAGTGGTGGCGTAGTCTCCTTCGCAGCCGTTATTAGGGTCGTCACGTAACTCTCCTTCCCACTTAGTGGGGAGGGGCGTTGCGTGATGACCCTAATAACGGCTGCGAAGGAGACTAGTGGTGGCGTCGCGAAATGTCGCCGGCTGTTTTCGCAAGCTTTTGCGGGGACTTTCTCTGGCCCAAAGAAAAATCCAGTCATTTCCTTTTTCATTTTCTGTTTTACGACACCCTTGTTATACCATACCGATTTACGCACTGAAGCACATGTACCAACTCCGCGGTATGACCAGTACCTTACTGTGCGTGCGCACAACCATATCACCCTGGTAGTGGTTTGGTAGTGGCAGCCATGGACAGCTGTTTCGTCCTTTTTAGGATTTTCCAGACCCCAAGCGAGGTCTTACTTGCGATTATCGACCCCGCCGGTCACGATCTCGGTGAGTTCAAAAGCACTGCTGTAAGCGCCAGCCCCACCGTAGGCAAGTGGTAGCTGTAAGTTGGGAACCGCGAAAAAGTTTTCCCTCTAGCGGGGTGATGTTGTTGTACGCATGCGTAGGGCACCGGCCTTACCGCGGAGCTTAAACCGCGGAGCTAAGCCGCGGAGCTCAAGTGCTTAAATTGGTCTTGTTATACGACCACGCTGTTTTCAATACTCACGACCACAGTATAGCATGACACTATCCCGATAATGCAAATATATTTTCATAGACTCGAACGGCTTAGTAAAGGAACCTCTAATGTTGGGGGTAAAGTCCACATTCTAACTCTCAACAAGCTGAAAAAAAATTGTGTCGAAGAAACTGGCGACGAACTGTCCCATTTCTTGAAATGTTTTATGATGTCAAACGCTTGTCCTGAGTGCAACAACTCAGCTAGTAACTAATGTCAAAGAAAATAGTTTTATCTCTGGCCACTTGATGGCTAACAAGGTTTGCGTGAGCATTAATTTCATAGTTAATTTTCGTCATTTTATCTAATTCGGTTGAGTTAGATTATCTCGCTCTTTTATTTCCTTTCATTTGTTCTATTTACTATCGTTCCGAACAGTTAGTCCGGTTATTTAAAAGGAGTTTAGCAAACGTTTAACAAATCTGCGTTCTAAGCTATGTTCAGTTTGCTAAATGCTTCTGTTAAAACACCGTCTATCGTGAACAGTTTCATGAAATCATAAAGCGTAGACTAGAAAAACATTCATCGTCTCCAAATAACCCAATAAGGAAGAGATCTGTATGTCCAAAGATAACGCAAACCCATCCTCTCACGGTGCTGGGTACTACCGACTGCTTTTCATCAGGTGACGTCAGACCGGACGCGCGCGAAATAGTGAAATTGCCTGGGAACTAAGCTATGTGAAGCCAGTTTCTATGTTTCAAACCTTAGAGGTTTTACGGTCAAAATGCGCAAAGGGTATGATGGGAAAATGACGAGTTGCATTCATACAATACGTTGACGAGCTGTCCATATGTTTCCCAAGCCCTTCCTTAAACTCGTTCCATAGAGAACGATTCCTATAAACTAAAGGTGCTTTTTCTTGGATCTTCTCGATGAACTCACGCCAATACTTTGCCATCATACCGACGATTGCTTTCCTTGGATACACTCGATGTTTTATGTTAGAAATACCGACAGGAACAAGCATTATCGCTTGTCCTCGGAATGTTAGTTCTACAGCGGACATGATATGCTTGTTGGGTATATACCAACTTTCACCCTTATCCAATGTGGGATAGGGTAAGATATGCCCCACAGCTCGGTAATGGTAAGCGTTGAGGCAACCATCAAACCATACTATAGGTATAACTAAGGATTTTTCTACAATACCACATAGCTTCTCTCTCTTTTTGAAGGTCCATCTTGCTCCATGACGTAGATAGTTCGCAAAACCAAAAGCCGGCTCGTAATCCAGAAGCCATTCTTCAAAGACCCTAAATGGCTGCAACGTTCTCATTTTTGGGGGAGTGAACGAATTGAAACCAAGAACTACATCATCATCAATAAAGATGTAGTAATGATAGGCTGTTGCTCTTTTCGAAGCATTAAAGAACAGCAAATTCCGGCCTGAAGCCCAAGAGGTTGTCGGATCAAATATATAAGAGATGTGTGGTGGGTGATTTCTGTCTTCACACTTGGTCTTGTAACTTAGGACGATGACATCACATTTGCAAGTCTCTGGGTCACCAATCTTTGCAGAGGAGGCCAGGCTAGGAGGCAGACATTTCCCGGTTTGAGTGAGATATATGAAAGGCTTTTTAGACGGGGGCATGTTTGTTTGTTGAGCCATATACTGGGAGGATTGCGAAGGCCTTGTTATGTGCGCAACAGCCGCGTTTAAAGGGTTCTTGTATTTATCTGGCTCGTTTTGGTTCACGCGAAACAGTGATGCACTGAGTATAACTAAAAACACGCATACAGTTGTTAGAAGAATAAAGCATCGTCTCAATCCAATACCAGTACTCTGAGAACTGCAAAAGAATAAAAGAGTTGAAGAGTTGAGTAAAGAATTTCTCATGGGACACATTACATCTGGATTATGACGGAGATTTAGACATGGGGTAGTTACTTTCTATTCCAATGGGGATCCAGAAGTTCTGACCAGAAAATAGAGTATTATCTTTGCACAGTGAAAACCATTAACTTGTATATGTTGTTGTCTTACCATTGATATGTTTTTTGGCGTGAAAATCAATTAAAATGGCCTCTGTATGATAAGCATTATCGAGCATTTTGGTGACTTTTTCGGGGGAGACCGAGTATTTTAGTGGAAAAAATGTAGCATTGAGGTGGAGCAATTTAGAGGGGAAACAAAAGCATAATTTACAAATGCGGTACAAAAACCTACCAGTGGATAGTGCTATCCAAGGATTAACAACTGAGGCCTGATGGTCTGTGTAATTTAGCGGGAATTAGGAAAGTATGGGAACGCAAAATGGTCCGCGTTCATTCGCGGACGCAGGATTGACACAATTTCAGATCCAAAGTGGTCTAGAACAGGACGCCATTGAACGGTTGTAGGCAAGGTGTGTGGTCACACGCCAGATATCAACGCAAAAATGTAGCCTCTGCTCGCAGGGCAGAAAAAAAAGGCTAAAACGTTAAGAATAAAGTTAATGGCAATTTTCCTGTCAAAACTGAGGAAGGGTAAGGTCGAGTTTAAAATCATCAAAACAGGAAGAATTTGCAACGTACATGTATTGTATTAAAAAGCGCAATGTTACCAAGAGAACACCAAAAATTTTAAAAACATATTTATATAATAAGGAAAGTTACCACGGGGATGTATTTTAATTGAACGTCTGTTTCACGCCGACTTCATAACAGAAGAACATATTATGCACCTGGTAATTATATAAGTTCAATAGACCTACTAGGTCAGACTTTACAACAAAAGTAGTAAAGTCGCGGGATTATAAGTTTATGCAAAGTCAAATACTACTGAAGTTTTTAAAATTAGAAAAACTAAACCGACTTTGCGATAAAAATATATTGTTGCTAGTCGCCACAAGAGGCAAGCAATTTCTGTTCAATCTTAAAACAACCATTTCTCTTTGAAAGATAACAAAAAAAATTGTATGAAATGAAGGATGATCAAGTTTTGAATATATGAAAATCATATATGCGAACTGCAAAGCCGAAGAATTACAATGAAGGATGATCATCGCATTGTACTGGAATGTAGCTATCTCTTCTATTCTTGCACTGAAAATGGCTAACATTTGATGCTTATTGTTGAGAGTGAATTGAACTTTAACCCTTTTCTAGCTATGTTTTTTACACAGGGGCTTTCCTTTTCAGCATTAAAACCTATTTACCATGCATCCAAAATTGACTTCAAGATTATAATTATTCACGCTTTTCTGACATTCATTATTAGTTTGCCTTCATGATACAGTACCAGATAGGCCCATTGTCTAATTGAGGTCAGCATCCGACACATTTTGATATTTTGTTCAGTAAACTTCATTTATTTTAGGCACAATTATCTTCAATAAAGCAGTTTCCAATTTAATATGCCATGGCCCGTAAAAAGGCCAAATTCAAAGAACAAAGTTATTTTAAAATTGTTTCAATCCCGAGCAGGAATCGATCTGCTTACATATCAAGTGTTTTTCATGATAAACTAATTTCTTGTAAATGTTTAAAGTAAAAATGATAATAATTGACTTTTTACGAGGTTAGGCGAATGACCCGGGTTTCTCGCGGACTACCAAGTAACAATCTTGAAAATTTCTAATTCCTAATGTCTCTCAAAATATAAAATATGGTCCTATGGCATCGCGTGCTTTAGTAATGCAAAATGAAAAGAGCATTAAACCAAGAACAGACGACAAAGAACATGGTTTTCCACTTGTCTTGCTGTCAGTAATTACTGCTTTCGGTGTACATTCATTACCAGAAATTGTAGAGATAAAAACATAGCAATAATCTCATTTTACCCATTTCTGTTGCCTGACTGAGGAAACTTACAGAGGTGAAATAAAACGATTTTGCAGTCGGGTGATGCCGCTACTCGGCAGTTCGCACTAATACTGTTGTGATCTAAATGTGACCACAGTTGTCGGGACTTAAAAAATATAAAAACATATAAAAAGGAAAAATCAATTTACCTACAGAGAGCGGGCTGTAAGGTTGAGCATAGAAGACTAACAGGGGATACCATGATAAAACAAACAAAACCAGCCTGCGCTTTTCTTAATGACCCGAACCAGACAGGGGCTCACCAATTATCTTGATGATGTGTTCATATGCTCTCATGTGTCTCGCACGTAGGACCACCCTTGCCTAGTCCCTAGGCCTCATTATTGCGCGCGGCCGATGCGTTTCGGGTCACGTGGTCCCAGCCGTTCGTCTCTGATACGCCACAGAAATGCATTGACCGAGAAGGCCTGGGAAGACGCCCCACGGGGACTAGGCAGACGACTAGGTAGGCACTGCCTCTTATAACACGGGCAAACGCGGACACCCTTTCCTTTTCTGTAGCGAATGCAGAAAAGTGGCCTGGGGAACGTGGGTACAATGACACACTTCTTGCATCGAAGTGCGGATTTAACTTGGTCGATCTCCCTCCTTCTTCTTGTCCTTATCATTGGTTATATTGGTCTGTATGGGTAGGTTTTCTGAAAACTGTTATCTTCGTTTTACCTCCTCTTGGTGGATGCAGGCTGGAACATGTTCTCTCCAAAATTGAAATTCAACGAGGTCATAAATAAAGAACAACTTGTGAACTGACTAAGCTCGGTTTGATCAGATTTGATAATGCCATGAGCATGGGACAAGAAAAAATCTTGAGTTCCTGACAAGATTCAAATGTATGAGTATTGAACTTCCAACAAATTTTTGAATGAATGGTTTAGAAATTAGGAAACTTCTTAAAAAGTTTAAATTTAGAATAAGTCGTTATCGTATTTATTTATTTATTTATTTATTTATTTATTTATCCTTTCATTTTTTTTTCGCAAAAGGAACAAATGAAAAACCATCTAGACTGGTTTAGGTTTTCTAACTTGCCCATTTAAAGGCACAGATTACAAAATATAGCACATTTTATACAAATTCTGACCGCGCGCTTAGAAGCTTCCAGGAGCCCTGACTCCTATCACTACTTATATTGAGTAGTTTACAAATTGTGGCATATTTGCAGGTTATAACTAGTGCTGACCACCCTTGGAGAAGAGTCTCCAGAATCGCGTCAAGCCTTTGAAGTCGCTGCATCCCGAACTTCTGGACGCGGTAGTCAACCTTATTTTCTCTCGTCAAACTGGTTTTTCGAGTGCTATCATCGTTTATTGTTAAAACAGCTAAGTCGAGCCATAACTGAGCTTAACTGAGCCCACTACATCAAGCGCACGGCTATAAGAAATTATATCCTATCAACAAGATGCCGCGCATGCTCAACAAAGATCTTACGCGATTCACGCAGCCAGGAGCCGAGCAGCAGAGTCTTTCTCGAGTTAGCCTGCGTTGCAGCCGGCCCTCTATCCTCTAAACAGAAGGTTTAGAGTGTCTGCGACGCAGGCTATAAATCGAGAAAAGCTCTGCTGGCAGGGTGGCGACTGACTGCTGTGCTCGGTGACGTCACAGCTCACGGTAGAGTCCAGGATTGACCGAGCCGAGAACGCCTAGGGATTAGGCTGTGCTGTGACTAGTCGTTTGAAAAAATAACTGGACAGGCGATCTGATAGCCCGCGATCAAGCATCCTGCGAGCAAGCTCTCCTATTTGGGCGTGCCTCTCGCACGTCTACTTTTCGTGATATCCCCCAAATGGAGAGCTTACTCGCAGGCTGCCCGCGGGAGCCCCATGAGAGCTTGCTCGTTAACCCCCCCACCCCACCACCCCTTCCCGCTGGAACCAACAATGTGTCCACAATGTTGACACCTGGGAGAACATTATATGAAGAAGTTTTTAGACCCTTGGTAGCCGTGTCTCCACTGCAACGCTGATTCGTTCGTTGTTGCTCGGAAGCCCTTGGTCGTTAACGTGTTTTGGGTTTGTGTCCTGGCTCCTGTCTCTTGGTTGAAGTGTTTTTTGTTTAGACTACTATAGCACACCAAAGGAACAC